GGGGGCTGCTCCGTGCCGTCTCTGCTGCCCCGCTTCCCCCGCGGTCCCCCGGAAACCTCTGGGCCCGCTGCGGGGGGACTGGCGGTCACCGCGGCCGGCGGCCCCAGCCCGAAGCTGGGAGGGCCCGCAGCCCCCTCCGTCCTGGGGAGCGCCCGGAGCTCTGCTCTGCTAGGGGCTGCTCTTAATCGCCTACGATGAGGATCCGTCTGGCGAGAAGATGGACGTGGGTCCGCAAGAGCTGCCTATTTCTCGGCTTCTTGATGATCGCTTACTTTGTGGTCGAGCTGTCGGTTTCTTCCTTCGGTGCCTCCCTGGCCGGGGAGAGCATCACCAAAGGGAAGTGGGAGAGGCGCTTTTCTGACAGAGCAGAAGAGGCTGTGGATTTGGCTCGTCCAGTTTATGACAAATCCCCGCCTGATCCCTATGCCCCTGGAGAATGGGGTAAGCCCTCTCGCCTGCAGCTGAGTCCCGAGGAAAAGAAACAGGAAGAAGAGCTGATTGAGAAGTATGCAATTAATATTTATTTGAGTGATAAAATCTCTCTTCACCGGCACATTGAAGATAATCGACTGAGTGGCTGTAAAACTAAATCTTATGACTACAGAAGACTGCCCACAACATCTGTTATAATTGCTTTTTACAATGAAGCCTGGTCAACGTTGCTGCGGACAATACATAGTGTTCTTGAAACATCACCTTCAGTGCTTCTCAAAGAAATTATACTGGTGGATGACTTGAGTGATAAAGTGTATTTGAAGACTGAACTTGAAAAATACATAAGCGGTCTGAAAAGAGTTCGTTTGATAAGAACCAACAAACGAGAAGGATTGGTTCGTGCACGCTTGATTGGTGCTACCTTTGCTACTGGTGATGTCCTCACGTTTCTAGACTGTCACTGTGAATGTGTATCTGGTTGGCTGGAACCACTGCTTGAGAGGATTGCTGAGAATGAGACTGTTATTATTTGTCCTGTCATTGACACCATTGACTGGAAAACATTTGAATACTACATGCAGACGGCAGAGCCCATGATCGGGGGGTTTGACTGGCGTCTGACGTTCCAGTGGCACTCAGTGCCTAAACATGAACGCCTCAGGCGCAAATCAGAAACTGACCCAATCAGATCCCCAACTATGGCTGGTGGCTTGTTTGCTGTCAGCAAGAAGTATTTTGAGTACCTGGGTACCTACGATACAGGAATGGATGTTTGGGGAGGGGAGAACTTAGAATTATCATTTAGGGTTTGGCAGTGTGGAGGCATGTTGGAAATTCATCCATGCTCCCATGTAGGCCATGTGTTTCCAAAGCGTGCGCCCTACGCTAGACCGAATTTCCTTCAGAACACGGCACGTGCTGCAGAGGTATGGATGGATGAGTACAAAGAGCACTTTTACAACAGAAATCCTTCAGCAAAAAAAGAAAACTATGGAGATATTTCTGAGAGAAAGATACTAAGAGAGCGTTTAAAATGCAAGAGTTTTACCTGGTATTTAAAGAACATATTTGCTGAGTTGCATGTACCAGAAGATCGTCCCGGCTGGCATGGTGCTATCCGCAGCGCAGGAATAGCTTCCGAATGCCTTGACTACGTCTTACCAGAACATAATCCTACTGGGGCTCACCTTTCTCTTTTCGGGTGTCATGGCCAGGGAGGCAATCAATTTTTTGAATACACATCAAATAAGGAGATTAGATTTAACTCTGTAACTGAGCTATGTGCTGAAGTCCCCGAGCATGAAGACTTTATAGGTATGAGGAGCTGCCCAAAAGATGGATCTCCTATCCCAGAAATTATTATATGGCATTTCAAAGAAGATGGGACTATTTATCATCCTCATTCGGGAAAGTGCCTTACTGCTTATCGTACAACTGAGGGGCGTGCTGATGTGCAAATGGGAGCTTGTAATGCTGCAGATAAAAATCAGATTTGGAAATTTGAGAAATAATCACTGCTGGTAGTACAATTCAAATGGACTCTGATATCCAAGGATTTATATGCGTGAGCAGATAGTGATGTTTAGTTGTATACCTTGGAATGTCTTCAGATGCATTCCTAGTGGTGTAAAAACTATATCGCTGTGGTGAACTGTATGGAAAGCAAAAGTAAATACTTGGATTTAATTTCTAAAACATTGAATACAGATCTAATGCCTTTTATTTTTTTAAAACTTTGATCTGTTATTTTCTTACTTTGGTCTATCTTGATTATGGTTAATCAAAGGCTTTTGAGTGGACTGAGGAGGGACTTTTTTTTCTTTAAAAAAAAAATCTACACATTAAACCTGCAAGATAGTGTTACATGACAGTAAAAAATCTTTACTTACCAAAGTAAAAGTTAAGGTTCTTGCAGTGGAATTAACTGACCTGTGTTGCAGTTACATTTTAAGATATGTATCTTAACACCCTAAATGATGCTACAGTAGCATGTGATTGAATCAGCATCGATGTGCAAAGTTGAGGCTTAAGCCTTGTAATATTTTGCAGTTTTCTGGGAATTTACAGGCTATTAAGGGTTCCAGGGTGGCAACTAGCTGTACTACTTTGAAGAAATGGAAGTTTTTCTAGTAGATGGGCTTTGGCACTGCTTTGCAGTCTTGTGCCTATTCTGGAAAACTTAACTCATGACGGCAAGTCAGGAGTTCTCATGTGTTTGGAGTGCCGTAGCAGTGGAACCAGGGATGTGCTGGCCATACCACAAATGGGAAGAAATAGTTGCCTTATGAGAACTCTGTTTAAGGGTAATGGAGAAGGAAAGAAAGCAAACATTGTATTGGCTACTGCTGTTTCTTAGCTATATCTTTAATATTTACGTTACCTCTGTGTAAGCTTTTCCACCGTAAGCCTGGCATCCCAGAGACACATAACTGAGGTTATATACCATACAGTGTATCCTTTTTTATTTCCTGTCCGTCAGTGGGTTAGAGGAAGGAGATGCAGAGGAAAACTTGGGCTGTTTTATTTTGAGTTATGTGTTTGGCACCAGCTGGCATGCATCAGCCCTAGATAGAGTTTTGAAATAATGTAGCATACATTTTTCTAGTGACAGTAGTACCATGGAGACCTAAGGTTGGAAAGTTGGCGTTCCTGAAGTGAGGAGAGTTGAAAAGGCAAAGGGCAGCTTGGACGAAACCAAGATTTTTGGTTAGGTGTTTCACAGAACAATTTATTTAGGATGTTTTCTATATCCTGTTTTGCTGAGTTTTGAAGAACATTGATTCTTGAATTGTCACTAATCCATTTTGGGTGTGATTATAGGCAGTAGATGTGATAGATACATTGTGTACTTGAAAAAAAAAAATCTTGTAGCTTTGTATGATTTAAATTGAACACTTAATGTTTCAGGCATTCCAGATTTCTTTGATTACTTTCACTGAAGTGACGAATGTTTTCAGTAGCCACAGTGTAGTAATTCTTGACATGGGGCTGGCAGGTAGGAGCTTGAGCTAGTGAGCAATAAGAATCTGGATACTTGAGGAATGTAGTAGCTGGGCATTTGCTGCAGGCGTTAGTAGGTTGAAGGGTTAAAAGGGAGCAAGAGAAACACGAAATAAATGAAGATTTGAAAAAAAAAAAAAAGCAAGAGTAACTTAAGAAATATTCTTGAAAGTGATTTTAAAGATTTGAGAGGTTTGGGTGGAAGCAGTCTAAGATAGAAGGGGAACATAAGCAAATTTGGAACTGGGAATGTAGAGTTGAATCATGCTAAAAATGCTTGCTACTGTGTGGCATGGGTTGTTTTAAGTCTTTGACTTATTTTTAGGAGGTTATTTGCTATTTTTTTTCCCTTAAGCTGATTTTTTTTTGGTTTTGGAAAAAGGGAACTTTTTTACTATATAAGGGAGACAGTCCTGAGAAATTCCATTATACTCTGCAGCAATAAATTCTTTTGTGGACCTTCAAGTTATGAACCATTTATCAAATTTTAAAAGGCAGCCAGTCATTATGTACCGGGGCAATAAATTATATAAAGTATGTGCTTTTGTGAAAAACTGCTCTAGACTGTTACATTCAATAGAACTGACAGGAAAAAGGCCTGGGTTCTCTCCTACATGACAGAGCATAAGTTGTATGTGCAATGCATGTTTCCTCAGATGAAAGTAATTAATTAAATGGTGTGAATATAGACTATGCAACTTTTATACAATTAATTTTTTAGGACTTGGCAAAAACTACATTTCATATAAAGAACTACCTTCATATTAAAACTGACATCCAAAGTGTTCCTTACCTATTTAAGCAATAAGTCTAAGTGAACCTGCTTCTTAAAGTTTGGAAAGTTACTCTTTCTATATGGATCTGAACCCTTCCTCCTTCTCCCTACCACCTCCTATTCTATTTTCATGGTTACTTAAAAACTAAAAGAAAAAAAAAAAAAAAGCATAAGTAAATAACCTGGCCCTATAAATAAGTAATTAAAAAAATATTCCTAATGGGAATAAAAAAGGTTGGGGGTGATAGAGGAACTAGAGGAAGAGAGAGAAAGAAAGAAAAAAAACCCACCCTTGCAATTTCAAGTTCTACTACTTTTGAACTGAGTTGCAGCAGTTCTACAGAAACACTCTAATCCAGATGTTTTTCAGTGTGTACAGATTTGTAGAAAATCTGAATCTGAAAGATTTTCTATGCTGTTAGACTTTGAAAATTTGGGGAACACTTGTGTATATTTTAAACTACTGATTTTAAGTGACTTAAAACAAATTGAATGTAAGCTTGGCACTGAATAAATGTAGAAGGGCTATGGGATTTCTTTTGAACAAATAAAATCCAGAATTAAAAATGTTGGCTAGTGTGTTGACCTCTTCAGTTCTTTTCCACTTGTGTAAGTACATGTGACATTCACTAAAAACTGCTATGAACTTGAACTTTTGCAAGTTATTAAAAGTTCACTGCAACTTATCCACTGCACTTAGAATTTCAGATTGGTTCGCTTTACAGAGGTTCATTTAATAACTGTTTTCCTGCAAGCAGGAAATCTTGCAAATCACTGGTAAATGTGTTTGTTTAGTGACGTTGCACTTTATCACACTGAGATTTGTAAGGTTCCTGTAAAGTGTGTGGGTTTTTTCGTGGTGATGATGGTTGAGTATTTACACACGCATCACACGCACAGCCCTGTACTCCATCTGGCCTGTAATTCTTGCACTGCCTGAGATAATTATGTTGGAAGTGCTTCAGTATATGGGGGAAAGAAAGGGTGCCCGGGGGGTACATGTAGCTGTTAAAGCCTGGCAGAGTATATCTCTTCTGATTTTTTTACACAACTGGCAGTTGCTACTGTGGTATTCTGGGAAATAGAGTTTAATGGTAATTCCATATTGCGGCAGCTTCTGTCATCATATATATATGTGTATATATGAAAATGTATACCATCAATATTCACAACTTATAAATTGAATTTGATTTCATCTCAAATACCATGAAAAAATTTGTGGCGAATGTGAAGCCCAGGTATTTGTTTAGAGGACTGCAGTAAAGCAGTGTGTAAACCTGGCCTTTGCTTAAGGCCAAGTCTTAATTCTTTCGTGTTCAATTCTGTTATGACTCATCACCAGAAAAGCAAATTACCTAGAGATGTGTCAACTATACTTGGGCGTGTACGGAAAAAAAAGCACTGAGGCTGTAAACTGGACTAAGTTGCATATTGAAGTCAGCTCAGTGGGAATTTTCATTTTCTTCTAGTTATATTTTTCAATTGACCAAATATTGTCATTACTACATCAAGGACAAATTTTGTCTTTCACCTCTAAACGTGGTTCTGGTTATGTTGTGTCTTCTAGGATATATGGGCAACATACCTGTTTGTGGTACAGCCCATCCTAAAATTTTCTTTTCTACTCTTTGTGTTTCTTTTGTTTCAGTTTCAATACTTTAAATTTAGCCTTGGAGATCTGTTGTGGGCTGGTGGTCTGGTAATTGAAAGTCAGACTGTAGGGCACTGGCATACTTAGCAAGTGCTGACAGAACACATCAGCTGGGTCTGGTCTGTGTTTCTGTAGGACCTCATGTGTAATCTGTCCTGGAAGGTTCTTGCTCCCCTCCTTTTGAACACTTAAATGCATGGACAATATGAACTTGAGGGGAGAAAAATGCATAAAGGATTAAGAAGCAACCCTTAAGATCCTGTGCTTGTGTAAATTGGAGAAGGGTTGTTATGAAGTAGGCAAAATCCCTTAAAATGGAATAAGAAAAGAATTAGAGAAGTTTATTTGATAATAGTAAAGTATATTTTTCATGTATAAAACTGTTTTTAAGATTAGTATTGATAATGGAAATGATTACTGTCAACATTGTTACCCTATAGACTCTTGTATTTAGTGCCTCTGGTTACCTAAGGTAAGATGTTTACTGTTGCATCAAAATGCATAGGCATTGGACATATGTGCCAAATGCAGCCTGTCTGAACTGGGAATAGCTTAACTTGGCTAGTCTTGTTAATGGTAAAGAGACCTGGCTTCCTTGGAAGGATAGGGGCCAAAGTTGAATATAGATTCAGGCTTTTGGCTTAGAGTTTCTTTGGGTTTTTGCCTCTCCTGTGCTGGTCAGATAAGAGTCACATCAGCCTATGTTACTTACCCTTTCCTGTGCAGGTCCTGAACAACCTCCCTCCTTCACCCCTGTGGTGGTGTCAGCTGGGCTGGAACTGCAGTATCAGAGATAATAATAGCCTTTGAATGTCGTGGTAATGAGCATGTATGTGGCTTCGAGAGAATCCTACCTAAGGATGGAGAGAGGATGCTGTGTGAGCGTAGGGAACAGGGAGAATAAGGAATATTCTTGTGGATGTCCCAGGGAACAGAGAACTTCAGATCCCTGCTTGTGTCTCATTGACCTTGGGATAATCCATCTGTGAGAGAGCAAGTTATAAGAAACCAGGCTTTGACTTTATGAAGTGTCATCTGTTAATATGCTTCCTTCAGTTTTTAGAACTGAAAGCAAAGACCACTGGTACTACATGGCCTTTGTGCACTTCATAAGGTACCACAGGTATTTGCTATTTTGTGCATTATTTCTTCTAGAAACCATCGATCTTGTTTGTTCCACATATCCAATATGATGCTTTCAGATTCTATTTTAGCTTACATTTCAGTTTTTCCTTTCTGTCTTATGCTGCTCTAGGTCACATTTTTCTGAATCAAATGGGGAAAAAATAAAGAATTTGTGTACTATTAGAAAGAGCCTGCTGTAAAATAGAGTTCTGAAAAGTTAAAGGGGGGGAAAATATCCTGTACTTCTGTGCCAAATTTTGGCCTATTGATATGGATGTAGGGATAGCCTGGTCCCACATCTTTTACCAGAAGCCAGTCTTTTGGGAGTGAAATAATATCTCTGTATCGAATCTCTAAGGAGAATTTAATATATAATGTTTTGTTCAAGGCTTGCCTTGACACACATGCTAATAAATGGACTCCATTACTTTGTGCTATGTTGGTGCTTGAAAGAGGTTGGGAAGGGAAGAGCCATCCTTTTCATATCCTCCTCAACTTCCAGGAGGTTCCTCCTCTCCTTCCCTTTCTGTACTAGTGATAGGAATTTTATAACTGAGGGGTTGGAGTGTGAATCCCTTGGTTTTATTTATGTCCTGCATGCTAGCATTTAGCAGAAATGAAGATAATAGAGGTGTAGAAATATCACACTTGTCAGTTTAATTCAGCTGCTCATTGCTTTTGCTGCTTGTAGTTTCCTGGAAATGATCAAGCTCTGGTAAAAGTTGTCTGCCTTCTCAAATGTAGATAGTGTGAGCCACCTGTAAAGTGACTGCAAAAAAAAAGTTCATACTTTTTTAATTACCAGACTGAAAACTTCACATTGTGTTTTGAACTAGCCAAATGTTAGTATTAAAAAAATTGGTACTTAAATACCTGTGAAGAATTATCCTTTAGTCCTCCCAGTCTTCCGATGTCCTTCCAAAAGCCTGGTGTTGGCATTGCTGTCTGTCAGACTTCTGCTCAGGCCAAGTATCCCGTTAAAACCCAGTAACTGCTCCCTTTTCCCTAATACCCAGTAAGTTCACTGGTGAATCCAATTTCATAGTCATTAGCTCTGATTTTTCTAATGATAGTGAATGGACTCCTAATATTGTTTATTTCTTGCCAGCTACCTCCTCTTTGGATAGGTTTCTTATGGTGTGGAAGCTGAAGACACAGTGCAGAGCTTACAGATTTGTAGGCCATGCAGAAGCAGTGACCAGCGTACAGTTCTCACCAGATGGGCAGCTACTTGCTTCAGCTTCTCAAGATCGTACTGTCAGACTATGGATTCCCTGCATGTGAGTGTAACTGGACAATGCTGACTATGTGTTTCATTGATGTGCAATGTGAATACTGGAGTCTTTACCCAAGAAGAGTTTCTATTTCCCTCCCACATTCCTGGGCTTTGAGTTTGGGGATCACAAGCAACATGGTTCTTTACTGTCTCATTTTGTTCTTTACTGAATATTCTGTAGTTTCAAAAGAAAAATATAGCAATTCACAGGTCATAATTTCATGTGTGTAGGACTATTCTTGGTAGTATTTCTCTGGCTTAAAGAATGTATTTCTTTTAGTAAGGATTGCATGGCTGCACTTCATTTTGGGGAGACAAGTGATGAAGGAAACATAGCATTTGTGGAAAAAATATTTTTGACTTGTCTTTTTAGACTCTTTTTAAGAAGTAGTGATTATGAGAGCTATTAAGAATGATCTTAGAAAAACTGGTGTTACTTTTAAGCGTTTTGTAGGTTACTATCAAAATATAATAAATTCTTTTTCAAATACTGTATGGAGGCTAATGTTGCTAGTTAATTGCACTGTTCTCTAAAATTGGTCATACTAAATACAACTACTTCAAAGTAGTCTAATAATCAATATTCAAATAAAGTAAAAAATATTGGCAACACTAAGATTTAGCCTGTATAAGTTGCCTTTTCATTGTATAAGATTCCAAATATGTTTGAATAGCTTTGAGTTTTATGGGATTTTAAACTCTCTGTTTAATATAATTGTGATCTGGTGGTTTTATGTTTGGTTTTTTTTTTTTTTCCCTTCCTCCAGTCATGGAGAATCATCAGTACTGAAAGGTCATACAGCATCTGTTCGTAGTGTGAGTTTCTCACATGATGGCCACTTTCTAGTTTCAGCATCCAATGATAAATCAATAAAAATATGGAGTGTTCGCCATCAGTGCCTTTTGTTTTCCCTATTCCAACACACTCATTGGGTTCGCTGTGCCAAGTAAGCATTGTTTTTATTCTCTTTGTAAAGAAGCAGAACTCCTAAAAAAGGGAGTTTATTTCTCAGGGCAGAACTAAGAGATGAAAAATTTGTGAATGATAAATGACGATCTATCACTAATAATGAAATTTTAATAAATCAATCTTATGCACACACATCTTATAATTTCCTATTTGAAGTCTGAAAGCTTGCTCTGTGTAATATGTGTACGTATTAAATCTGTTGTTGAGTGTTAATTCTTTCACTTTAAAGGACAAATAGGACCTTCTGTATTTATTTTCAGTCAGTATTCCGGCTTTCCCCAGTCTGGCATGTTTTTGTGCTGTATGAACTTATTTCTCAGCATTCACTTGTTTCAGGATTTATTACTCACAGTAGGGGTTTTATCAACTATTCTTCAACAGTAGTGGCATAAAAGGAATGGTTGTGAGTCAAAATGAGTTAAGCTTACATCACTGGAAAAGGTAGAAGAAATAGCCTTTGTACTGCAAGTTAAGATTTGCACTCTATTTAAAGGCAGGGCAGCTCCTCAAAGACAAGAAAAGATTGTTCTTTTGCTGTTTTTTTTTTTTTTCCTCCATATTAATGGAAAATCTGCAGTTGAGGCCTGATTTAAACCTCTTGAGAAAAAAAAATTAACACTGGTGAAGTGCAGAGCCCTACAAAGTTCCAAAGTATCTGATTGTTATAAAATAAATCATATATGAAAGTTCTTGAACAGTTGAACAGTGTTCTAATGTCCCTGTGCAGTTGCTCAGTATGAAAAATAGTAATGATTGGTGAAATTACAGAGAAATCAATTTTTCTGTTTAAAAAAAAAAAAGTCTGCTAGTCTAGGAATAATCATGAATGTTTTGCTGACAGTCTCTAAGTCTAGAGAGAACTCACAGGAGAATGTATATGTAGGTTAAAATTGAACACAAGGTTCTACTGTGTCCTCTTTGTCTTTTTGCCTATAGTTTTCTATAATAATATCTTTGGCATCTGAAGTGACAACCTTAGGCTGCTGTTACCTTCCCTCCCTCCCTCTTCTCTTGTTGTTGCTGTGTTTTTAATTGTAGCTGATTGTGAAATGGAGGGGAGAGGAGCGAGGTGAGAAGCTTTTCAATATTTTTTACTCTATGAGAAATATGAGAAATTCAAGTGTCCTCTGAATGTTATACAATTTAATTTCAAACAGGCTTTCTTGGTTTTGATGTTTTGTTACTTATGTCTCTAATGCTAATTTAGGTAGTATCAATTGTTTAGCAATGTGTACACTTGCATGTTCCAGATTTTCACCTGATGGAAGACTAATAGCATCTTGCAGTGAGGATAAATCTGTTAAGATCTGGGATACAAGAAATAAAACTTGTATTGATAACTTCTTAGACTATGGAGGGTAAGTGTTTCTAGAAAAAAGGAGAACTATAAATGTGTAATTTGAGATTAATGTTTTGTGGTATTCACGTCTATATATTTTATATCTGAAAATAGATCAAACTTCTACCACCCATGTGAACTAAAATAATTAATTTCATGTTTTTCAAAAGAAGTTAACTGACTGCATTTACCCATCTGTTTTCTAACAGTCAAGGAACAGGCCAGAGGGAAGTCAGATTGTTCTTGGATTTTTGAATGTTTCCGTGTTTTTCCTCCATTTTGATAATGGATGCTTCAAGAATAGAAGTTTGAGTTCTTCACTCGTTAAAACAGTATTCTGTTAGCTTCAGTGACCTGCCTCATTTAGGTTTAGAAAACACTTGCTTTTACTTATCTGCAGTTTTCTTAAACATATTGAGATGAGGGTTTTAATTAACAAGTGCAATGGAATATTAATCTTGGATACGTCCTTTGTTAATTTCATGGCTGCCTTCTCTTTCCTTTTTCCAAGCTAAAAGGTTGTGATAGCTAGATATTCTGTTCTTAGACAAAGTTATTTTACTTGCTGTTTTCAAACTCTTTGTAGCACTTTCTTCGAGGAACTTTGTACTCCAACACAAACTGTGAAGGTTTGAGTCAGGACAATTATACTATCTTTTTAGCAAAAGCCAGATTGTACAGTCTGATTTATCATACACATCTTGTTTTCTTCTGTTTATTTCAGTTGCTTGAAATACCTTATTTGAGTTTCCATACATGTGGAGTCCACACAAGTTTGTAGCAACTAAATGTTAGTTCTGTGGTGGTTTTTATACACACACACACACACATATATATACACACACACACTCACAAATATTTCTGTGGCAACACGTAATCAATCTATTTTCATTTGTTATATTTAGATTTGCAAATTTTGTGGATTTCAACCCAAGTGGTACATGTATAGCTTCTGCAGGTTCCAATCATACGGTGAAGCTCTGGGATATTCGAATGAACAAGCTACTGCAGCATTACAAAAGTAAAAATAATTTAGTTTGTTATATTTTCTTTAGAATTGAGCTCTTTGCAACAAAATGTAATTTGTTTAGATTATATGATTTCATTCCTTGATGGGGAAGGTGGACAAATAGGTCATATTGGCATTTTGTAAGTAATTTTTTGTAGTCTAGCAACCCTAAAAATACAGTCTGAATCCTGATTATTCCTTTGCAATGCTTCTCTTATTTGCTTAGTTCTGTGCTAAAAATTACTTTGTAGAGTCTACTATGTCCTGGCACTTTGGTTGTTTTTCTTTTAACTGAAATAGGTTGTTCTTTTGGAAGTAGAAAAGAGCAAAGAAATTAAGTGTACATTTCCTGTTAGTAGATATCTACAGTCTTTGAATATTATCTTCTGTAAATTAGTTCACAGAGCAGGGGTTAATTGTGTATCATTCCATCCTTCTGGTAACTATCTCATCACTGCTTCTACTGATGGTACCCTTAAGATTTTGGACCTCTTAGAAGGAAGACTTCTTTATACTCTTCATGGACACAAGGTATACACAATAATCCTATTTCAATAGACATTTTAATAGATTATTCAGTATCTTTTCGAAGGGAAAGTAACATTTATGCCATTGCGTCTTTTATCTGTGAGTGGCAAGATACACTTTATTGGACAGCAAAGTGTTGTATTAATGTACATTGTTGCCTATGACCATGACCTTAATTTTGCCTATGACCATGCAGTTAATCTGCCAGTATTTTATGCATGCTTAATGTTAAGTAATAGATCATATTCTGAATTCATTAATAATTCACTCCCTTGATTGTCAAATCTTTTTGTCTATTGAAAAACAGTGCTTTCTAAGGAGGGGGAAACATATGGAAGGTAACTTTTGTGAAGAATGGCGGACATTTTCTCTCTTTCCTCTCAATGCAAAACAAACCCCACTTGTGAAAATGAATCACTCAAACACATAGTCTTAAGTAATGTGGTATATATTTGAAATTTTTTTTATTGCAGAGTTAAAATAAAAATCTAAGGAAAATACCACTATTTTCCTGGTATTGATTGCAGTGTTGCATTACAGATGTGCAATATTGACTCTTCAAGTTGTTTTGCAAAAGTTTCTCTACCGTTAAATTGTTCTTGATTTTATTAAAACTGAAAAATCTGTTTATATTAGATAATGGCATAAATGTTTTTCTCTTTGCATTAAAATACCACGATTACAGTAATAGGGTAATTTTAATCTGTGCCTTTTTTTGTCTTTCAGGGACCTGTACTTTCTGTGGCTTTTTCAAAAGGTGGTGAAAAATTTGCCTCAGGTGGAGCAGATGCTCAGGTTTGTGGTATTGTCTCTTTAAATTAAATGTCTTAATGTTTGTTACAGCGGCGGAGAGTTAAATATAGTGTGTTGCAGTAACATGCTAATTACAGTATGCTGTCATGCATTCTGTCTAGTAGTGTGCTATATAGACTTTGTTTAGCCTAAAGGTAAATTTGAGGAGAAAAATAAATACATCATTTAAAAGCTTGATCTTAACTACTTTCAACTGGATGTCACAATGAGAAGACCACAATACTAGCCAGTTGTGTTTTACATATTAAACTAAATGAATGACTTTTAAAGAGAAATATTTTAAATGTTGCAATTCATTGTCAACAAAGTAGTTGTGTTGCAATTAGTATTAATGCCTACATGCTCTGTTCTCACTTCTTTTAAAGTCAGTACTCTGTAACTGTGAGAATTAAGTTGTACTGGGAAAACTTTGGCTAGAATTGAGGAAAAATATCTTGTGTTAGCTTTGCTAATTTACATGGGTGAAACAATGAAGTGCTGGATTTCATATAGGGAAGAGTTGTTTGAGCATTTAAAACAAAAAAAATGTAAACAGCAAATCATACACTTAATCTTCATCTGCTGTGATAAATCTCATAATTACAAAAAATAGTCAGGCTTGGAATCAACTCTGTCAGGTTTTTACATTCTCCATAAAGAAAGAACTTGTGTAGCCCAAGACTTAAGAGTTTTACAGTCTGAAATGTTCCTTAATATTAGTTCTCTTTTTCATTGTTTCCTGTTATAAAAAACTAAAAACTCAATGTAGACACAGAAAGCCATGCTGTAGAAATTAAGATCTTTTGAATTCACCATAAATCATGTTTCTGTTCTGTTTTGTGGAGTTTGAAATATGTTTCAGCTAGTAACAAGACAGTCTTGAAAAATAATACGTACTTTTTAATTTAAAACTTCAGTATCTTTAGAAAGAATACAGTCTGCTTCTGTTTTTTATTTGTTGCTTCAGATAGCACACTTTCTAGAATGACTTGAGAGCACTCAAAGAAAATAAAATTGCTTTCTATTACAAGACATGAGAAGCAGTGCCGAGGCTTGCAGCTACTGGAAAAGCAAAAATGTTACAGGCAAAAAAATCAAGCCCAAGAATGGGGAAAAGATATTTATTTATTTGTTCCTTAGTCTAATCTTTTACTTTCTGTACTCAAGTGTTTTTTTTAATTAGAATTTTTTAGTTCCAAAATGAAATTTTGATTCCTAGGTAATCCTGATTTGTTGACCTTACTTTTTATTTGTCCTTTCTTTTATGATGATTGGTGTATTACACTTAACTTGTGGAAGTGAAGTACATGTGTTAAACTAGGTTATGTGACAGAAGATTCATCTGAGAATCTGATGATGCAAAGGACCCACAGTATTAAGCCTAACCCAGCCTCCCAAATAAATGCCAGCATACCCTGGGAATGCCTGTCTTATTGCAAGGTTCCTTTGAATTTGGGGCCCCTGAATGATGTGCATGTTCTGTGTGGTCATGTCCATGCCCTGTTTCTGCTCTGACTCCATGCTGTAGAGCTGGTGGCAATGGGATCATGGAGTGAGTAGGTATTATAGTGCAAAATCTATAAGATGAATCGTGTTTCTCAGCAGTTTGGTATAGTGGTTTCATGCTGAATGCATAAGAGGGAAGATCCAGTTTCATCAGGAAGTGCTTTCTTAGGTAAATGTTGAATTTAAAAAGTTGTTGTATTACATCTAGTAAGAAATCCTGGTTTTATTTGCCTTACAGAAAGGCAAGTTTTTATCAGTTGACATTTTTCTCTTGTGAACATTCCAGTGGAAGAGGGCTAATTATTTTGCTGTAACTTTGACTTTTGTGTTGTAAGTTTTAAAAGGCGCAGTGCTAACCATTGTGTGATAGCTGCCTGTGTATATCTCTTTATAATAAGCATAAGAACTTTATTCATCAGTGTCTGTTTTCTGTTGCTGTATACACATACGTACTCCATGAACATCCTTTTTTGCTGACTTGTCCACAGCCACCTTCTATGTCTGCCAGGAGAATAACTGTGGGACCTCTTCTCAACTCACTGTGATAGAATTAAGTTACTTTACAGTAAATGTAGGCTGTATTCATTTGAAGAGTTCTGCTGGCAGATTGGCAATGTCAAGCTGATGAACAGAGGCTGGCCATAAAAATATCTTCTATCCCTCATGCAGTATCCAAAAGATACTGTCTGTCCACAGCAGGAGTTGGAGGCAGCTGATTTACTGTAAATTTACCACAGATTACTTGCTCTATAGACATATAGTTACTTTTACACTGTTTGCATTGCAGTTGAGATACTTGAGGCATATAAGGATGTTTCCGTGCTGGTTTTACTAATTTTGTTACTTGTAATGATGAAGCTGCAACGGCATGGCCTTCCACTTTAGAGCAAAATGAAACATAGAGCTTGAGCAGCTCAAATGTTCACCATTGGTGAAAGGTCCTACTTCTGCTGCCTCCTGCCTAAACTCTTGTTTAAACTTGATGCTGAGACAGTTCAAATTGCTAAATGAGCAGAAAATTAGCCTTAAAAAATGGGGAAAGCTACATAAAAAATGTGAATAACTTTATGCTGGATTGGGGTGATGGAGGTAGTGGAACTACACAGCTGAGGAGGAAGAGAAAGCAGGACCTACCTCTTACAGCACAGTGAGCTGCTGTGAGTCAACAAATCTAACACTTAACTGTCCTGCAAGTGCCAGGTTCTGAGGCAGGTTTATGTAGTTTGTACTGAGATCCATGCATCCCACTTTCACTGTTACTAATGTCTGAGTGAGTTAGGATCCATCTTTATTGGTGCACTGTTTCCCAGCACACAATTAGGATCTTCCACTTGAGTCATGAAAGATGTTGAACCTGAACTGAACTTGTAACAATGCAGCTACTTAGGAATATATTAAAAATATTATTTAGTCTGCTTGGAATTTCTGTGAACAAATATATGATTTGTGCTACTTACGTGTAGTTTGATAATTTCTGAAAAATACTTCTAATGGTTGTCAAAAATATTTTTGGCTGGACAGGCAAGTAATTTAAAATCAGATCATGGTCCCATCTTTGTTTCCTCTAATTTAGGGAGCAGCTATAAAAATCAGCCTTAGCCTTTTGGAAACTGCCATCTTCTAGTTGTTATCAACCTCCTTTTTTATTTTAATTTTTCCCTTAGCACTTAAAGTAACAAAGCTGACAAAAATAATTCAAAGTTATGGTAAACTTAATTAATTAACTTACAAATACAATTGTTTTGTGACATGAGAGAGCAATATCGTGCATTATGATTTGGGTTTGTGATGTATTTGTAAGGCTGGATAGACTACCTTCTGCTATTTTACCTCTGCATTTTACTACCTTACTTTTGCATTTGGCCATGATGTGACTTGTACATTGTTTCTACCTTGAATGTAATTGGATGAGGTTCAGAAAACAGATTCCTGTTGCTAAAACACTGGAACCAGGTGCTTTAGAGTTCTGTGGAACCCTCTTGTTTCTCTTACCTGCTCAGACTTTCTCATTTGACCTGCAAGCCTTTATGGGGGACAGAAATCTGATAGTATATGACTCCTTGACTTGGTAGAAAAAGAACTTATTACAGTCCAATGGGAGAGAAGTTTGCTTTGTTTTATGATTATTGAGGCATCTTTTAGAGATCTCCTTTTTTTTTTTTTTTTTTTTTAATAGATTGGTTTGGACTTGGAAGTACAAGATACTCTGGGGAAGGGCCTGTGTTGTAGTAGATACCAGACTAAGTGATGACAGCAGTCTCATTCTGATGTTGTGATCTATTAGTAATAACAGACTTCACTGAATAGTTATGTTTTGGGCCCTGAATAGGCTTCAAGTAGTTGCTGATATAATGCCTTTTTACAGGTATTATTATGGAAAACCAACTTTGATTCATTTAATTATAAAGAAGTTCTTAAACACCATATTAGAAGAACACATATTGATGGTCCTCCTCATCTTCTTGATATTTACCCGAGGTCACCTCATCTCCATGATGAAAAACTTCAGTCAGTTGAGGTGAGTGCAATAAGTACACTAATAAAGGAAACCAGAAGCTTATGTAAATGCTGTCTGTCTAGCATTTATAGTTTTATGTATACCAGGGAACTTTTTGTTATGTATAATACTTTGGAAGTAACCATAATTTATGAATCCCCCTTAAGGTTACTAGACTAGTTGATGCTGTCAGATTTATCCTGGTGAATTCCTTTCATGTTTCTTGTGTAAGTCTGTCCTCTACACTTGATTTAAACAAAACATAGGTGATAGTCTGCTTTCTGAAATGTGGCAACTGTTGCAGAATATATCTCAATCTTCAGTGAGCTTCAGGAGACTACTCAAAATCTAACATTAGGTGATAAGTGTTGTACCACCTGTTGCAGGACAAGGTAGTATTATTACTGAAAGTCAAATACTTGATTGTCACCAGTTGTCCCTCTTTCCAAGACCTTTAGGTATTGTGAGATCTTGCTACCTAAAAGTTTAGAAAGCCTTTCTAGGCTAGTAGTATGGTTTATGTCACTATGTAGTCTGTTTTCCTGATAATTTAGTTCTTCAGTTACTTCACTGTTAAATCTTCTACCAGCAACCCTTGGAAGTACTGGGAATCAGGGAACCAAAGTGAAATGTCAAATATTCTGTGTCAGTATTTGGAAATTCCTATGTTTGTCAGTTTGTCTGAAAGCTATGCTAAATAGGAAACCAGTACTATGCCTTAGACAAGACTACTGTTTATGCTAAACCCCTGGGATATATTTGTGACTGTTGTTGGTAGATCTGGCGAGCTTCTGCATGGTGATTACCTATACTTTTATCTCTTCTTTCATATTCTCCAGGTACCTCTAGTGTCCAAGAGCTGATATTAAATCTAGGAACTTTCAGGTTGCTGTCATGTACTATAGAAATTAATCATTACCTGGTTTTGTTCATTTAAAATGCAGATACTGCTGCCACGGCATTTGTTTCCTGCTCATACTTTTAAAACACTGAGGTTTCAGGATATTGAGCTTTTTGTGTGTTTATGTATGCAATACGAATATATAAAACGAATAGTATGAAGATTGAAAATATTTTGATGGAGGAGGGAAACCCTAATAGAATTATTAACTAAATATCCTCATGTATCTGCTTCTGTTGTCAAGTTGGATGTGAAGCTTTCTGATGCTTAGCATTTCAATCAGAACAAGAGCATGCCAACTGCATGTATGACAAGCTTCACAAAGAAACTTCTGTCCTAGACTGTCATACGCATTGTAAGGTCAATGAATGAAGTTAAGTTTATTAGTAGCAGCCTTCAGTGTAGGTGGTCAGTGCTGGAACAAACTCAGTCACAACATTTGCCAGCAGATTTAAACCACTCTTGTTGTATCAACAGTTTGCTTCAAGACCCATTCAAACTGCACTCAGTTATAACATGTGCTAATAAACACAGTAGCTTATAGCTTCAGGGTTCAGTTGCTTTCTTTTCCAGACCTATTCTGCTTGGATGCCTGTCAAAGATAGGAATATTCTCTAAAGAAATTTTCCAGATTTTTTTTTTTTAAATTTTATTTTTATTGTCCCTGCTCTCAGGTAGCTGAGAAACTCTGGAAAAACACTGAGTTCAGGCTAGAGTTAAACTAAGGCTGGGAAGCACGTCATTACCAATACTGAAAGGGCACATAAAGGAAATTTGATAGTTGAATATCAATAAATTATTTGACAGATTTCACTTAATGCCTTCATTTCTTCATAGCTGTAACATTTGCAGCATGTTACAGGCTTCTGGATTAGGTACTCCATAGTAGCAAGAGGGCTCTATGACTTTTTAATTTGTTTTAGCAAAGTTTTGGGCTCTTGTGGTATATTTTCTATCCTGATTTCAGGATTTTAAGAATAAGCTTTTGCTGTGTTTAGTTTTCTGCTAACATCATATTAGAGTATCTTGCTTTTAAATAAACATGATATTCTTTGAGGTATTACCATGTCTGATAGTTTCAACAAAAATTAATGTACTGTATTTTTATATTTCTAAATTAAATAACATAATAATGATTAGAATCTCTTTTGCATCTTATTTCCAGAATTAATGTAACGATTTAATAATTTAGAGAGTGTTAAAGTGAAGTTATCAAATTTTGTTAATCCATATGTCTTTGTCTTTTTTTTTTTAACTGCCCCCTCTCTGTCTCAACAAAAATTATGGGTTTTCTTTTGTGGCAAGGAAGAATGGACCTCACCATCTGAACAGAGACATAATTTATCCAGACAAAACTAGTATCAGGTTACTAGCAGCAGTAACACGCTTCAGTGGCACTAACTATGCTTGAAACTTTTCAGTGTTCCATCTTCTTAAATATTTCCTCCTGTAACAGAAAAAGCAGCATTTCTAGTCCTACTGTACTATGCTGTAGTCTGGAGAAGTAAAAACAAAAAAATAAATTTTTGTCCCTTTTTAGTTAAAACAAACTTTTTTTTTTTTATTTAAACATCCCAACCTCTTTCTAGACAACAGGCAATATAGAGAATTGTAGCACTAGTCAGTTCCACTGCAACACCACCCTCATCTTTTTGTGGCTCATCATGTTTCTAATATATGAGAAAAAGGAGGAACTGAATCACAGGCATGTCAGAGGGAGCTTTTGGAGGTCATCTGGTCCTGTTGCCAGTGGTACATTGAGTCAGCCATGTCTGTGTCTAGTTAGGGAGCCTTGAAGAGAGGTGGAGATTCCCCAGTCTCTCTGGGTGATCTATTCCAGTACAGCACAGCAATTGTAATGACACAGTAGCTAGTATCTCATCTGTACCTCAGGTAAAATTCAGAACTACCTGCTTTCTGGGAAGATGATTATCTTAATTAAACTGAAGTAACAGTATTTTAAGAGACTTGGTAACATGCAGGAGTTTCAGGCAGGCAGAGGAGACAGTTCAAATATGGGATATTTAAAAGTATACCTTTTAAGGTTTGCTACAAGCCACTACAATGTCATCTAGACACTTGAGATGCGTTATAATACAGTGCCCTGAGTTACAGTTAGCTGGTTAAGTTTAGTCACCTCTATAATAGGAATGATTGCCTTAGGATAACATTCAAAGTGGTAGAACACAAGAAGTTCAACAGGTGTCCATGTAGAACTCCAGAGGGAAATAATTCTGTCCATGCTTTTTAAATTCCTAATGTTTCATGCCTATCCAGGTTTCTTACTGCTTTTGAATAATTATTACTTGTCTTATTCCTCCTTGCCTCAGTGTGGCAAGGTCCCTGCTATTCCAGAACTTTGCTCGGGATTTATTCAGTTGGGTTCAGAGACAGCTGTAGTGTTTTCACACATCATCACTTGGATGAGCTGTTTTGAACAAAACAGCTTGCACAAGGGCATTAAGAATTGTTGGTATTTTGCCTTCAGGATAGTGACAGAAATGTGGAGCCTGAGCATACTCTCACCTTTTCTTAGAACTTATTCTTACTCATATACACAGAGCCAGCAATAGTTAAGATACCTTCTCTAGTTTATTTCTTTTTCTCTGCCTACTTTTTGAAGCATAATTAAATCTTACAAGAAATTACTTACTTGTATCTCCTTCTCTTCAGACCAGCAGTAGCCTGAATTTTAATGCAATGTTGAATTTCATGTTCTTGACTTATAAATCTTTACACCTGTACTCTAACTGCACCGATCATTGTGATTCTTGAATATTTAATCAAGTAGAGATTTAGAGCTTACAATCATTACAATTGTTCAGAAAATTTTGCAACTGTAAGCAAATGACTTTTTTCTCTGAAGGCACCTACTTATTCCATTGACCATAGAGGTAATCTTGGCTGACCAGCTCAAATACAGGTGTCTAGCAGTATGTCTAAATTTAGATGAGAAAAAAATCCCAGTTATAGCCTTCCTTTGAAATAAGGAGCTTTTGGACATATTTGAAAATAGTATGTTTAATCACTAATGCAGTTTTAGTGCAATATACTAAAAGAAATGCATTCTACTTGTTGACAGTTGTATTTCTGAATTTCCTGTGTTTGCATATAATTCATCTTTCATATACTAGACACCTCTTTAAAGCAAACAGAAGATAGAAATAAGTTTCCTTTAAAAACATAGCATTGAGGTTTGCACATATTAAGATGTGTTGAGATTATATCTTGACCATGAAAGCTACTACTGATTTAGTTAAATCTTAAAATTTTCAGTATAATTTCCGTTCTATTTTCTTAGATGAAGGCAATCAAAATATACACTAGGTGGCAGTAGAAATAAGAATATATGGCTTGGCTTGAGGGCTCCAGTGTAACATAAAGAACAGTGTTTAATCAAATTAAAAGTTAAATTTCTCTTGGTATGTTTCGAGAGACTATTTCACAGCTAGCTACATCACTTGCCTAGGAAGTACTTTGTGATTCATTTAAAACTTCCTCTTTTTATCTTAGGGTTTTGATATAATATGAATGTTATGAAATGCATTATAAAAGTAAAGTGAAAGATGGGGGATTTTTTTTGAGATTGGATATACTTTATTAAAATCAACAGAGGGATATTTGTAGGAGCATAATCATTTACTTAAAGCATATGGCTGAGAATCACATACTTAGTTGAACCTGCTTCTTTTGTTACTCCCCAAGTTCTCTGTCCTAGGCAATGATCCTTATTTGTGCCTCTCACATTCTTTAAATAAATAATATATTTTGGGTTTGCTTCACTTTAGTCTTTAGAAATCAGTAATTCCTTACACTAAAGGTTCTGTAGAAACCTTCCTTCATTTTCTTGCGCTGTGGATCAAAATATGGCAATTGTATCATCATATTGGAAGAAGATAATGAAAGTACTCATAAATCAGTGTACCAGGCAATTAAAGGAAAGTTTTGTAAGACTGTTTTTGAAAACCTTTAATACATGACAGTTCTCTTTACCTTGCTTTTTAGTGTTCTTGTTTTTCTTTCTTGTTTTCTAAAGTTAAGTTTTTCCAAATATGTTTGGTGAGATTATTTGACAGCTAACTACACCACCTTGTCAGAAAATGACAAGTCATTTGAAACTTTTACACTTAGCTTCATTCCATTACCCCATTAATGTTTAGTGTGACATTAACCATGAATATCTTCAAGAAGGGTTTAGCTATAGCCTTCATGGTTTTGTGCTCTTTTCTTTAGACACTTTGCTATTTCTGACTTATTGCTTAACAATTTTATTTATCTATCTCTATATATAGATAATATCTTTTAATGTGGCCTATGACAGTTTCTACACCCCTATGAAATGCCTTCCATCCTACCTTATCTCTGATAAAGCAACGAGCAGAACTATATGCAGAGGAGGATTTCATTCCAGCTTTTCTTAACTTTTCTTAACATTCCACATTTTCTTAACTTAATCATACCATGTATTTATTTAGTAACCCTGTATCCAAATGAGCATTTAACTCATTCTACAGTATCTCTCATGTATATAACAAGGAGATTATCTCACAGAATCATCTAGGTTGGAAAAGACCTTGAAGATCATCCAGTCCAACCATTTACCTAACACTGACAGTTCCCAACTACACCAGATCCCTCAGCACTATGTCAACTCTGCTCTCGCTTCCAGGGATGAAGACTCCACCACCTCCCTGGGCAGCCCATTCCAACGCCTAACAACCCGTTCTGGAAAGAAATGCTTCCTAATATCTAGTCTAAACCTTCCATGGCACAACTTGAGGTCATTAACCAAGTAACAAGCGATAGGACAAGAGGTAAAGAGGCTTATCCCCAGCTCTCTGCAGCCTCCTCTCAGGTAGCTGTAGAGGGCGATGAGGTCTCCCCTCAGCCTCCTCCAGACTAAACACCCCCAGTTCCCTCAGCCGCTCCCCGTACGACCTGTGCTCCAGACCCTGCACCAGCTTCGTTGCCCTTCTCTGGACACACTCGAGTCATTCAATGTCCTTTTTGGAGTGAGGGGCCCAAAACTGAAGACGGGAATCGAGGGGCGGCCTCACCAATGCTGAGTCCAGGGGTAAGATCCCTTCCCTGTCCCTGCTGGCCACGCTATTGCTGACACAAGCCAGGATGCCATTGGCCTTCTTGGCCCCCTGGGCACACTGCTGGCTCCTGTTCAGCTGGCTGTCAATCAACACCCCCAGGTCTGACTGGCAGCTCTCCAGCCACTCCTCCCCAAGCCTGTAGCACTGCTAGGGGTTGTTGTGGCCCAAGGGCAGCACCTGGCATTTGGCCTTATTCTTAATCTCAAAGAAGGTGTTTCAAGAGCTATTAGTAATAACGTAGCTCTTCCACATTAAAGTACTAATAGGTGATAGACACCTGCTGTCCCTCTTCTGGAGAGTGCTGCAGGTGCATTGCCCTTTCTTCAGTCCCCAAATGATGCATGTCAGAAAAAGACTTTAAGTGTAGATGTCCATAGTATGATTGACAGACAGATAATGTGTTAATTATATTTCTTACAGGACTGGCTGAAAATCAGAAGCAAATGACCCTATTTGTGCTGGGCACTAAATAACTGTAAGCTCTTTGGAACAGTTATCTGCATAATCTAAATAGACAGGGTGGGGGTTGGGGGAGTAAAATCTGCAATTCCCCTCTTCCTCACCTTAACTCTGATAAAGTGGTAAGAAATACTATATGTAGAGGGGACTTTCATTAATCATGTTTCTGCAGAGAAGAATTTAAAGAAGTCCAGTTAAAATGGTAGAACTTCTATATAAATGGAAAGTTATTATTTAAACCATGTTGCCTAGCTTTGGTTCTCCTTTTTCCCTTTCTTTCCTCCAAGCCTGTTTGACAAAATTGGAAGAAAGCAAGACTTGATCCTAATATCTTCCAATTGAGGGAGAATTTTAAGTTACCAGCTCTGATGGCCCTGTAGCAGAATGCATTTTCCTGCTTGTCTCTGGGTAGCTCATTCTTGACTGATGAAACTGTAATCTGATTTAAAAGACAATACTTACAAAAAAGAGATCATGGATGAAGAATGGCTTGTTGAATCTGAATCCAAGAAAAAGCTAAGCACTGCTTGTCAGAAAGGTTAACTAGCTTAAAACCAGAATTAATATCCCCCCTGAAGGAAGGCTTCTTAAGTACTGCGAAGTGCGAGGATCACTTTCATCTTGAATAATCGGGTAACATTTGTATTTAAATGTCTTTTTACCTTCTTTCTTGCTAGTAAGATCTGTTCATCATCATCTTCCTCCTGCCCTTCCACCCACATTTACCAGGGAGGTTTTTGCTTCTGTTCGTTAACCTAAATTTCTACATGTAAGTTACAGAAATCCAAATAACTGAATAAAAAGACTTCAAGCAGTACAAGATACCATTGCCTGCTTTCTCTAGCTACTAATTATGGTTTTAATATCTCATTCTATCTACTTAACAAATGGATCTCTGACCTAAAAGTCTATATGCCCAGTATGGACCGTAGTATCAGGGATTTTTGCTTGTGGACATAGAACTGTAGCTGTTACTGACTGAGCAGCTTTGGCTGAGCCAGAGTTTTGACAGTCTTTAGGTGAAATGGTAGGGCCTTTCTCCTTGAAAAGGAGAAATGAAATGGCCCTTGTATCTAATAAACTTTCAGAAACTAAAATATAAGCCTGTCACTAGGCAAATGTGAGTTTTTAAGTGTTTTTCTTTATTTTTTTTCGTCTTTCAATTAAGATGGTTGGAATTAATGCTGTCTCTGATAAGGCTGCTGTTAGTTTACTGATTAAAAGTTGAAAAGGAGAGTTCATTTCTCACCAGACTTGGTGATTTGAAAGTCATCTAGTCTTTCTGTGAATTTTGTCAGTTCATAAAATAATAATAGTACCTCCATTCATCATGCTGAGAGGGCAAGTATTAGGCTGTGATACACCTAGATAATACAATAGTAGGGAAAATACGCAGATTTTTATAGGGAGGATATTCTGATCCTTAGGTAAAACTGTAAGATCAGTAAAAGCAGCAGCTTTCTCAGACTTCATATTCTCTTATATTTTTGTTAATGTTTCACTTTCAGGAAATGACATTGGCAAAATATTGTTGAAGTTATAGATTAACTTCTATAACCAACAGTAAGCAAGTAGTCTGACTGATATTAAGACATCAGAATTGCAGATGTTGTGATGACATATCTGATCAAATCAGCCTCTGACATTATTCCAGTATAAAGCAGTTTTTCCTGTGCTGTTCCTAAAACCACCAGTTTGGCTGATTAACTTATCACAGACTTCAGTGTTACCTCCTACCTGTTTTTCAAGTTATTTTGACAATCAGAGTTGGTGCGTAACAAGCAAGCCTGTCAACAGTCCGTCTGCTTGTTTGCAATAGATGACTTGAGGAGCTTCTGTGAGTTGGGAACTGATCAATCCAGGCTTCTAAGTATGTGCTCACTTTCAGCTTTGGTGCTAATACTGCACCCACATCAGTAAAGCAACTCAGGCTTAGGGACTGACCTGGTGCACACACTCCTATGCATTGCTGAGCCGGAGTGGCTCAAGCTGATCCTAGCTCAAGCTGAGTTGTAGTGGGATTTAAAAGCTGCAGTATGAGACTGTGAGTGAGGTTGTGCCCTAAGTAAACTACAGCAGGCTGGGGACCAGTGTAATATAAAAACCAGAGTGCTGCATAGTTGTATATGGAAACCTCCACAAGTGGAGGACTGCTGCTATCCTTGGGCTCTAACAAGCTATTTGAGCATCACTGCTAGAAGGCAGCTTTCAAGTCCAGCTGTCCAGGGCAGCACACCATTTCTGCTGGGGACAGTTGTCCTGGTGGAAGGAGGAATAGGAAGGGCTGCTTACAACTGCACCTGTAACTGTTTGATGCTGGAAATTAAAACTCAACAGTGACTTTCAGGAGCCCATATAGTTGTGAACATGCAAAAACTTTCAAAAGCACCTACAAGTGATAGTTACAGAGTTGGGAAGTTGTCTGAATACTACCTGCTGTTCAATATTTCAGCAACATCATTAGCCATTCTGTCAATTGCATGGCTATCTTGGTAAATCCATTTCAAACTATATTTCTAACTGCTTTTTTGTTGATTTGTCATACAGCTGAACTTCTTAATATTTGCACCTTTTGTGGTAGAAATCCCCTGAATTAGTTTTGGATAATGGATGTTAATGAAGTATGAATTATATTTCTGTAATAAATGCATATCTAGATTCTATTTCTTTTATTACATAATTGCATTTTACATGGTTGGGGTGTAACATCCTACCTTTATTTTCACAGATTTTAAAGACTGTTTCTAGTCCTTACTGAATAGTGGTGCCTTAATGTAGCAAGGGGTCCTTTTTATTTCAGTCTTATTTCCCTTTCTCTATTGGTCCTGAAATAATAATATCATAATTTGTTTTCAACAGGTCAACCCTACCTTTGGTGTGACTAATACTCAAACACTTGACCCACCTGTTATAGAGATTAGTTCCTCTTCATCTTTCAGTACTCTGGTAAGTTGCCTTCTGGACAGGGATGGAAAGATAGGGTATAGCTTAAACTAACATGTTATCAGAAATGTGCTCTTTCTGTCTGTATGAATTAAACCTATTTCTTAATGATTGTTGACTGCTCAGAGATCAATATCCCAACTTTTTAACTTAATCTTTCTTTCACAGTTTCTAAGGCTAACCAGAAGATGGTGTAATAGCAAAGCTTTCACTTCATGCTAGTAATTTTACCCATATACTAAGCAGAAAGTTTAATTATAAGCCCATGCTAATTACATCTAAATATTACTGTTAACATTTGTGGCTTATTCTAAAACACTTCTTGTAACTCTAATAATGGGAAACCAAAACTCAAATAAAGGGAAACCTAAAGAATAGTTGCCTCATCAATAAAATGCCAAAAACTGTTTTATCTCCATCTAGTAGTTCTCTAGGAGGAAAAAAAAAAAAAAAAGGCAACACATTTTAAGACAGAATCATAGGATTAGATACTTACAGTGTTAGCTTTTCATATGACATTGGTATGGCCTGTGGGAGGAAAGGAAGGCAGTGTTTTAACGGTAGTTTCGTAGGAGGAGAAATATGCTCTCCTGGTATGAAATCTAAAAGACGTACTGTTCTAGAATTAGTTTAAAATGAGAATTTCTCTTTTAGCTCTGAATCTGTTTCTGTGAAGGCATAAATTGTATCTTGAGCAATTTTAGTTACCATAATAAAAGCTTGTGTGGCTGAGGGGTTAATATATATGAATAGACAGCAGGTGTGGTTTCTGTTGTTGTATTTTTTAATGAATGCTTTATGAAGAGGTATGTTGTGAAGGTACTTTATAAAATTCTATAAGATCATTTGTTGAAGATCATGATACAGAGGCTGATGTCTGAGAAACCTTTTCTTCAAAGCAATCCTGTCATAACTTTTATTTGAGAGATTATAATTTTATATATTTTAAGGTTTAACAGTTGTGTTTTCACAATAGAAATATGTTTTTTTAAGATGACTTCAATCAAAAGCAACTTGCAGACTATCAGAAATCTCTGTTAGTAGCTTGACAGTGGATTGTGTTGGGATATAATTTATTGGCTACTTACCACTTTAAAATACTGTGTTCATTACTTCCTGATGTTAATACTGATTACAGAATTCAATTATATGGTTACACTGTAATTCTTTGTTACATACTTATAAATCTGCCAGTCATTTCAGCATTAATTCTTTTGATATGAGAGCAGTTCATAAAACTTTGTCTAGAACTCATAGTAGGAATAAGTTGACCCACTAAAGAGGGCATCATTTTGATTGCTGGCTCTCTGGCTTTACAGTTGTCTTTATTACAAAAATGGTGCTTCAAAATTCATGCCTTTTGACAGTGTCAGTACTTGCTACATTTTTTTTTTCCATTCTCTTGATCTCCTGTTCACCACTGATTCTCACTTTTCTACATCTCATCATTCACCATCTGAATCTTTTTTCATCTAGCAATATTTCTGTATCCTTGTTATTCAGACTACAGCCTTAAGGACAACTGCTCTGTCCAACACACCATTATTGACACAAATCCAGAAACCATTTGCATGTTTTCTCTGCTGCTAGGATCCTTCACCAAGCTATCTGATCCTCCCTACTTTCTAATGTCAGTTCATCTTTTAGTGTAATCATCCTGTCCAGTGTCTGTTGCATTACCAGCTTCTGGTTTTTGTGGAATTATCATCTGTTTTTTAATCTGGCCAGCCATCCAGTCTCTATGTCTTGTTTCCAAGGGGTTCTGGATCTCACTGATTTGGAACTTTTCATCTGACGCTGGCTCAATTTCCTTAATGTATAGAGGTTTCATGTGTTCTTCATAAAAATCAAAAGGGAAAGAACAGATGCTGGATTTCTTCCCAACACACCTTCACTGCCAGATTTCCTCTTGATACTGTTTGTCCTCACTTTAAAGATACTGTGCTTGTGCATTTTTTTTGTGGCTTTGTTTTGTTTTTTTTTTTAATTTAATCCTCCTCTAATTTGAGGTTACCAACCCCTAGTGTAATTCATTGTCCTCCCCCCATCCCTCCTTCTGATTCAACCCCCCTGGGTTGCTCTTTTTCTACTGGTTATCAAAGACAGTATCACTGTGCACTTTTTTTTTTTTTTTTAACCTGTCGAGACCCACTTTAAAATTGCTTATGGCTTTTTGTTCCTATTTCTACTGGAAGAATGCTGTTCAAATGTTCAAAAAATAAAAATATTTGATCAGGTTGCCAGGTTAATTTACAGATGTCCTGTCTATACCTACTTTTTTTGAAGTGTTTTCCTTTAGCTTAAGCAGTTCCGCTCTTCTGATATGTGTAGGGAGGAAAATGCACCCTGAACTTACGTATCTTATTCAATGTCTTTAGCACACCTTTAACACAACAGGGCTCTAAGGTTATTTACAAAACACCTTGGCAAGTCTCTGAACCACTGGAAGTAGCTAATCAACATATTTATTTTACTTTTGCTACTGAAGAAGATACAGCCTTTCTTAGATCGCTGTCTCAATAATTTAAAGACTGGCTTTGTTGAAGCTTTTGTAGGACCTATGATAAGTTCCCTAAAGCTCCCTGAAATATCTTCAAGGAGATTGGAAGTCTATACAAAACCCCATAATGTTTTGTTATATGGCTATCATAATTCCTTAACAGTAACCAGGCAAACTCCCATAGATCTCAAGCTACTCCAGGAAATAGGAGAAAGTGTTCTCCCTACTGAGAATCCAAGAATCTCTTCTTCAGCTGTTGGAACTGTGTCCTGTCCTACTGGTCATAGGAAATACGCTGCTACTGCCCCTAAGATAACTTATGGCAGAGCAAAAAGGTATTCCTTTTCTTCCCTTCTGTAAAGATTTCTTAATAACGATAGAGAAGCATAAGTTGAGAGGGATGTCTAGAGTTGTTTCATCTAACCTCCCCATTAAGGCAAGGCCAACTTGGATGAGATTCCTGAAGGCCTTGTCCATTTCATTTGTTAATATGTATACGGATGAAGATTCTACCACCTCTCTGGGCAGCTTGCTCTAGTGTTTGACTAGTGAAAATATATTTTTTCAATATATTTAACTAGAATATCATATGTTCCAACCTGTCTGCCTCTAATTCTACCACTGTGGTCCTCTAATAAGGGTCTGGCTCTTGTGCTCTCTCTATCCGCCCATTAGATATTTGTGGTGGCGGTAAGATCTCTCTGTATCCTCCTCCTTAAGGCTGAACAAACCTGGTTCTCTGTCTTTTCTTGTATATCATGTGTTCCATCCCCCTCACCATCTTGCTCTCTGCTGGACTTGCTCCAGGATGTCAATGTCTTGTATTGAGAAGCCCAAAACAGGACACACAACTCCCGATAATTAAGGTGCAACTAAGTATCACTGTCATCTGTTCTTGAAAACAGTCTGCCTGGACCATATTTGAAAAACAAATATTTAAAAATTTAACACTCTTGATTCTTTATTGTAAATATAAAATATATGTTAAGATACTTCCTTAGCAATTCACTTATATTTTGAGCTTTATCTGTATGAGGAAATACTGGTATTATCTTTCCTCCCACTCCTCCTCTTCTTTTCAAGGAATTTTAATTTGTTGCTTCATCAAAGCCAACAATCCATAACAACATCCACACTTAAAATGCCTACTTACATGGGCTTTTTAAATTTACTTGTATTTTCTTGCTTCAAAGATTAAGCCAAGATAGGCAGGTATGGATGTTCTTGTAGATACTTTGCTAGAAAACAATCAACTTATTAAACTCTCTGAACTCTAAACACCTTATCTTTTGACTCTGTGTTCTAACTTAAAGCTGTAAGGCCAGGTTTTTTTGAACACGGTAAAAAACTTGTTTTCATCTAAGATTCATGCTGATGCAACTTTCTTTATATACCTAGTGGAGGGACTGTAGTCACTGTGTCAGTGGAAAAACTTGAGTGTAATCTTCAGTATGGAGCTGCTTTCTTTTGGACTATAATTTCAAAAACATTAAGAATTCCTGTCTGTGTATTATTGTCAGGAAAATAGCTTTGAATTTGATTATTCATTTATTCAGTTCTGTGTGTTACTTGAAATGAGTATGAAAACAAGCTTTATATGCTTAACTACCAGGTATTTGCATAATGCCCTGACTTTTCCAAGGGTAAAAGCCGTCATTTGTTGCGGTTATTAAAAATGGGGTGTGTTCTAGCCTTTTACACTGAAAATGCTCACTGAATTGAGGTCAAGTTTTGGGGGCTGGGGGTAGTGTTTCTTTCTCCTTCCTGTCTCATTGAAGACTGAAAGCATTACTGCCTCCTTCCCACCTCTTCATTTCTGTGTGTGAAGCAGCTTAATATTGACTTTGTTTTCTAAACTATTGAAAAGGAAGAATTGGAAGTCTTGTTTCCCTTTGGCACTATTTCGTCCTATTTCATCCTCTGATTTTACTTTTAGTTTTGAAGGAGGTTGAGTTTTTTCAAGTCTGTAAGGCAATACATCAGTAACCTCCGGTCCCTGATATGCTGTTGGGAACAAGGGAAAGTTGATGATGTCTTGGTATTTTTTACTGACAGCAGCAGGAAATCACTGTAGAGGCTCTCTTAATGTTCCATCTCCTGACCTTGCTCATGTAAACAGGATTTGGAGGAAGCAAAGCAATGTACTGTAATTTGGAAGTCAGACTGTCTATGCTGGCTGAGAGATATTTGTTCTTTTTCTTCCAGTGCTAGTTAACACCAAAACCAAGACATGTTTATTGTTCATTTACAGTACGATTTCTACAAAATTAAGACCGTATTAATTATTGAAAGGGGAAAGATAACAATTGTTCCTGTTTGGAGCAAAAGGAACATACTATGTTCTAAAATAGAAAATGACCAAATAAATTCCACCCACACACACACACTTGTAAAATATGTGAAAGAAGTAAGAGCATGTGCAACTTTTATTCCTCAAGGTAAGACATTGTTAGTTTCTGTACTGCATTTTTAGTGGGTATCTTGATGTAAAAAGTAGAAGTAT